AGGAAGCCGCTGGGGGGTTTCCTGGGCCAACGTCACTCATCACAAGAGCAAGCAGGGGTCCCAGCACCAGTGGGTGTGCCCCCCCAAAAAAAACTTAAGTCAAAATTCAACTCAGAGGGGATGGAGAGTTAGCATAGCAGGTAGGGCGTTTGCCTTGCCTGCGGCTGACCCGGGTTCGATTCCCAGAATCCCATATGGTCCCCTGAGCACCGCCAGGAGTAACTCTTGAGTGCAGAGCCAGGAGTAACCCCTGTGCATCGCTGGGTGTGGCCGGAAAAGCAAAAAAAAAAAAAATTCAGCTCAGAGTCAAGAGCAATGGGGTGGGGGGAGGTGGCCAGTCCTCAGAGTTAGAAGTTAGGGTGTCCCGCCTCGTGGCTATGCATCTCTTTCCCTCCAGGGATGACCCCCTCATGGCCTAAGTGAGGGTGGTGCCCGGTGTCCTTCCCCATGGGCCAGCCGATGTCGGTGTGGAGACCTCCTCCCACATACCTTTTACTTTTTATTTTTAGGTCATACCTGGCAATGTCACACCTGGTGATGCGCGATACACAGGGTTTACTCCTGGTGGTGCTTGGGGGACCATATGGGATGCCAGGGATTGAACCCGGGTCAGCCACGTGCAAGGCAAACACCCTACCCACTGTGCTATCACTCCGGCCCCTCTGCCTAACGCCTACTGTCTTTCCATGAACTGGTTTTTCTTGTGAGCGCTGGGTCCCTGGCTTGGCAAGATGTCCCGTGAAGTCCAGGCACCAGTTTTTTTTTTTTTTTTTACTGTTTTCTCTCTCTCTCTCGGCAGGCTACCGAATGTAACCTCACACGGCAGAGCCTGGCAAACTCCCCGTGGCGTACCCAATATGCCAAATACCAGTAACAATGATGGGTCTCATTCTCCTAACCCTGAAAGAGCCTTGAATATGGCACTTTTAAAAAAATCTCAGGGCTAGGATGAAGGAGACGTTACTGGGGCCTGCTCGTGGCAATCGACGAACAGGATGGTCGTCGTTGTCGTGATTGTTTTCTCCCTCATCAGGAAATTTCTATTTGTTTTTGGAGGGGGGTAGTGGGGGTATTTAGGGATCACTCCTGGTGGGCTCGGGGGACCAGACAGGGTGCCAGGGATCAAACCTGAATGAGGCAAGGCACAAGTGCCTTAACCCACTGTACTATCACTCTGACCCTCAGCGGGAAATTTCTTGGGAATAAAATTAACTTCTTTTCACATACTGAACAGGAACATGGAATCTTGAGGCGCCGGGAATGGGTGCTTTAGGGCCTCTGAGGACACTTTCTGAGGACATTCCAGGAACGAGGGTCACGTTGTCCTCACCCAGTGAGCTGCACACTCCGCCAGCCTGTGGGTGCCGTGTGCAGAGCCGGTCGCTGGGTTCTGCTCTGAGTGGTCAGCCCAGACTGCAGAAGCACTGATGACCCGAGGAGGACACACGGCGGAGGACTCGGGCAGCGGTCACTTTAGATACGAGGCTGAGGGGCTGGGGAGCCAGTTTACAGGGCTGGGTCCATGCTTGGCACGTCAGTGGGTTGAACCTGGCACCCCATGGTCCCCTGAGCACTACAGGGGAGCAACCCCCCACTACTTGAGTAGCATCTGAGCACTTCTGAGTGTGCAACCCCTCCGCCCCCCCATCCAAACAAATCAAAACCTCCCTGAAAGATCTCAAACAATCCAAGTGTCCAACAACAGCCGTGGAATGAGTCGTGGTGTACGGACCAGACTCTAGTATAGCAGGCAGGGCGCTTGCCTTGCACATGCCTGACCCAAGTTCAGTCTCTGGCACTGCATCTCCGAGCATCTCCAGGAGTGATCCTTGAACACGGAACCAGGAGTCAGTGTTGAGCACTGCCAAGTGTGGCCCATAAATCCATGGAGAGGATCGGGGGAGACAGTCATGGTCTACACACACAATGGAATACTACTCAGTTATGGAAAAGGTGAAATCTTGTATTTTGCTAAATTTGGTGGGAACTAGAGGGTATCATATGGAAGTGATTAAGAGGAAGATAAACACCACGTCATCTTACTCATAGGTGGAGTATAAAGGAACAATGGGGGAGCTACGGACGAATGCTCAGCATGCGTGAGGCTCAGGGTTGAACTCCCAGCACTGGCTGGTCCCCTAAGCTCCATAAAGAGCAACTCCTGAGCACTGGGCCATGAGCTGCCAACAAGACTGCCCCACCCAGCACTGCAGGAGGTGGTCCCAAAACAACAAACACACACACAAGGGCAGGAGAGATAGAATATCTAGGAGGACACTTGCCTTACATGCAAGCTGGCCCTGGGTTTGATCCCCGGCATTCCACACCGTCCCCTGAACCCGCCACAAGTAATTTCTGAGTGCGGAGCCAGGAGTATCCTGTGAGCATCGTGGCCCAGAGAAGCAAAACAAAACTAAACACACAAAGGGAAAAATTAAGGAAAAAGACCATAACTTTTTATTAAAAAAATTTTTATTTTTAATTGCATACAATCTCGGAGGAGAGGATGGTTGCCAGCTTTTCCTTCTGAATATTAAGCCATGAAAGATGCCCCCCAGGCTCACCTACTTTATTCTGGTCCCCACCCCAGGGGCTGCATGTGTTTCTGGGGTGTTTCCTGGTCCTCATTTGGGGCCAGCCTCCTTGAGCTCGGTCAAGCAACTGGAACCAGAGCTCTGCGCGCCTCAGTTTGCACCCCTGAGGTGGCAGCAGCTGGCAGAGCAAGAGCCTCTCCCATCCTCTCCTGTCGTCTCAGGGAACAGGTCAGGCCCACAGACAGGGCTGTGATGTCGTACTTTCCGCCATGTGGCAACACTCATGTCTCGTTCTCAGAATCACCGGAGAAGCGGGCCAGCCTTGGGGTAGCCTGGGGCTCTGCTAAGTGCTGGGCTCTTCACACCCCACCCCGCCCTGCAGGAGCGTGTTCTCCCTGACAGCGGGGTGGGGTGGCCTGCAGACTCTGGGGATGGAGGTGAGGGCCATGTGGGCTGCCCCCGGGGGTAATGAGGCTGGGTGTTGCTGCTGGACGCCCAGGGGAGGCCTCCAAGGGGAAGAGTCCGCCAATTCTCCGGACCCGAGCTTCTCTGGGGTGTTCTGGAAATGAGGGTTGCAGGGTCTGCATTCTGCACGGGGGTGCACCTGTCTGCACACAGGGGCTCCCCGCTTAGAGACATCACGCTCCTTGATGTCCCGGTTTCACCTACCTGGTCTGTTGGCCGCTGAGTTGGCAACTCCAGTTGGTGCCTTGCTGGAGAGACGGGAGTCACAGAAGCTCCCTTCGCTTCTCCACAGATGTTTCCGATGCCCGCCTGCCAGGTGCCGTGGAGGGGCCTCTGGGGAGATGGCGGCCCACATGAGGGGTGGCCGTCTTTTACTGACAGTGCTCTCCGAGCCTGGAGACAGCGGTTGGCACACACCGAGGGCAGGATGTTGATTTGGCCACGCCAGCCCTTCCTAGGTGTGCCCTTCTGGAGGGGGACACTCCCTTAGAGAGCTGGACAGCTCGGCCAGGAAAAGGGGGAGAATGTTCTTGGCCTCGTGAGCCTCCAGGAGGCGTCCCAGGAACTGTTCCCGGCCTTTCCCACCCAGCAGCTGTTGTCAGTCCCATGCAGAAACAGTCCCGACATCCCACAGAGAAATGTGTATGTGTGTATGTGTGTGTGTTTGGAGGGGGGGGGGCATCAGTGGGGTCCTGGGGCGGCCCGAGGCGCAGCACCAAGATCAGCCCCCCTGGGAGTCCCTCCTTCAGAGCAGCTGTCTCCTGAGCACTGAGGGACACTCATGTGAGAAGTAACCAGGTGGCCGGGGAGCAAGGCCCACCTCCCGTGTTGAGTGTGGAAGGCGATCGTTCTCTGGAGCCCCTCAGAGCGGCACTTTCTAAACTGGGGGTGGGTGGGATGGGGGTAGAGCTGCTCTGTCAGGGGAGCAGCTGCCCTGCCATGTCCTAGAACCCTGCCACCCCGGGGCCCTCAGTGCCAGGGAGTCCCGGAGGCTACTGGGCAGGGCCTTCTCCAGAGGAGAACTGCCCCTGACAGGCCGACGGCTCCCTCAGGAGGAACAGTCCCTCAGAGAGTTCCTGACAGGCCAACACTCCCTCAGAGATGAACAGTGCAGGTCCGTCGCCACATTTGGAACCATTTATTGAAGGAGGCAGTGAGAGACAGAACAGGAACAACACAGAATCCATGCTCTGCTACTGGGGTTTGCTTGGTTTCTTCTCAGCAACTTCTCAAACTAGGAGGTAATTTCACCACATGGAACGCGGGCTTTAGAGCCCCTGGACAGAGTCACAATGACCGTTAAAAAATAATTTAAAAAATAACAAATTGGAGAGCTAGGGCTGTTTGTACGTAAATCTCCCTTCCTTCCCTTACCCACCCCCCAACCCCTTACGTACAGAAACAAACAAAAAAGTAAAAAAAAAAAAAAAAAAAAACCCAAAACATACAAAGACCATGGGAGAGTTTTATAGAAAACGAGCAAATACAAGAATCTGAAACTTTTCTCAAAGGCTGAGCAAGACGTGAAGAATCTTTTAATGTTGCATTAAAAAAAACACATTAAATACACTATCACACAATGGGAGGCGGGGAACGTGGGGGGCTGGGGGAGGGGAGGGAGGGGTTCCCTGACTCAAGGAGGGGTGACGGGGGTCCCCGGGGGAGGCCGGGAGTCCAGCGCCCGCCCCGGGTGTGCAGCTGAGAATGTGAGAGTGACCCAGATCACCAGCGTCTGGGGGCACGACGAGGGGTCCTGGACCTCCACCGGAGAGCCTGGTGGAGCCCATGTCCCTGATGAAACAGGGCCTGGTCCCAGGGCGCAGGACACCCCCCTCCAGTGAGGGCCGCCCCCTGCCCTGCTCCAGGGACAGGGCAGGGTAGGGGGGAGAAGCTGCTCCCACGGGTGGATCCAGGTTTCTGAGGGTTTCTCTCCCCTCCTCCCTACCCCTCACGCTCCTTGTCCCATTCTCGACCCCCTCCCCGAACGCCCCCACCCCCCAAGCACACTTAATAACGCATACGTACTCCTTGAACCCTTAATACTTCTGTTATCTTCTGTTCATCTACCCGGACCGATTCAGGACTGGCCTTCAGACCGAAGCAACGTTTTAATAGTGAACAGGGCAGGAGGGCGCCCCGGGCAGGGTGGGCGGCCTCTGGGTCCCCACCCGGGACGCTGGAGAACATTGGCCTGGAGATGGCAAGGTCGGCACCGGGGCCCGCCCGAGGAGCTCTCAGCTGCCAGACCAGGAGGCCCATGACCCTGCCGGCCACCCTGTGGCACGGGCTCTCTCCTGGTGCCTCCTGCCTCAAGGGAGGCCGTGGGGAGAGTCCGGGGCGGCCTCTGGGAGGCAGTTTTGGTGAAGGCCACAGTCACCTCCGCCTGAGTTTGTCAGTAGCTCATCGCATGACCCTGGTATGAACGACAACTGGGTGGCTGTGTCTGGCCACGTACCCGACACCCACTAAACTGGGTGAATTATTTCCCCACAGCTCACCCTGATTTCATACAGATAATCCATGCGGGTTTCATATATATATATATAAACATATACATATATATATACTTTGTACATATATGTAGATGTGTATATCCCTATGTACACATATACATATATTCACACTCACACAGAGACACACGGATGTATACACACACGTTTCCGCAGAAAGAAGTCCTGCCACAATTTGGCCTTTTTTTTGAGGGAACGCTGAGTGCGAGAGCTCAGTCTCTCACGCCCCGGCCCCCGGAGCTCAGAGTGGTGCTTTAAAAAACATGAGTCCCAAATCTGCTGCCTTTCTTCCTTTTTTTTCTTAAAAAAAAAAAAATTAACAAAACTTGTCTTCCTAAGTCAAGAGACTTAATCCCATGTGATTGCACCTCTGCAAACGTGTACAAAATCTGGAAGGAGACTAGAAAAGGGAGCTCTGGCTTGGCGGCGGGTCACTGCTCCAGGGTCACCACCTCCACCGCCTGGCCGTCCATGGTGACCGCGCTGTCCGCTATCCTGGTGGTCACCGGGGCCATGGCCACTTGCACCGGCCCGTTGCCCTGCGCGAGGCTGGTGACCACAGTCTGGTACATGCTGACGGGGATCTGGACCAGTCCTGGGGAGACAAAGGAGAGAGAGCGTTGGTGGGGGTGGGCACAGGTGCTGAGGTGGCTCACAGGGCCCCTGTCTGGATTCTGTCCAACAGCATTAGGAGGAACAGGGGCAGGGATGCGTGTGTGTGTGTGTGTGTGTGTTAGGGGTGTGTGTGTGTCAATGTAGGAATAGGGGCAGAATGTGTGTGTGTGTCAGGGGTGTGTGTGTGTGTGTGTGGGTGGGAACAGGGGCAGGGTGTGTGTTTGTGTCAGGGGTGTGTGTGTGTGTGTGTGTGTGTGTCTCTTCCATGAGCTTCTCCAGGTCTCTCCCACCTTGCAAAGACCCTGTCTTTGAGCCTATCCAACTTCTGCCTCCCACCCCCCTTCAGAGTCAGTTTATTATTATTATCACTTTTTTTTTTTTAAAGAAGAAAGCCTGGTTTTGGATTTCATCAATGAGGAAAGCCTTGATACGTTCTTGAGGTCGATTTTTAAAAACCATTGCCCAATGGATCCCAACTACTGAATATGCAGGGGGGTCGGGCCCAGACGGCAGGGTCCCAGGGAAAGGGGGCGAGGGCAGAACTGGACCACACGTGCTCCACCACTGGACTTGGGGGGTTGGTGGCCCCGATGGCCTGGGGCTGACAGAGACCAGGAGAGGCCAAGGAAAGGAACAAACAATGGATAGTCCGGCCTGCTGGCCTCGTGTGCACCCCACAGCCTCCGACTGCCTCCAACCCGGGAGGGGCACAGGAAGAGGAGGCCAGATGGGGAGAAGAAAGGAACAGCAACAAATACCTGAATTAAAGACACGCATCTTTTTGGAGAGAAGACGATGTCAATAATAAAAAGTCCATTAGTCAAAACACATCATTTTTGTGGAGGGCAGGGGGGAGGGGTGACTGGGGAAGGCAGGCCACGCGCAGCGGTGCTCAGGGGTTACTCCTGGCAGTGCTCGGGGGACCTGCGGATGGGATGCCGGGGGTCGAACCCAGGCCAGCCACGTTGTAAGGCAAAAGCCCTTTCTGCTGGACTATCCCTCCAGCCCCAATGCTGAATGAAACACATCTGAAAGGAAAAATCTAAAGAAAAAAAAAATCAAGAGAAAATTTCCAAAGCTGGAAAGATGACAGCGGTGGCAAGGGGCAGAACTGAGCCCACACTGGAGGTCGAGCCTCCGAGGAGAGAACCCCAGGGAGTCACCTGAGAGAAGGCAGGAAGGGCACCGCAGAGCAGGCTGAAGACCCCGACCTTGAGGTGTGGAGAAAGACCCAAGAGGCCCCGCGGGGAGAGCACACGGCGCATGTGAGGGCCCTGGGTTCAAGCCCACACCCTCAAGTGTGGGCTTCTGAAAAGAACAAAGATTCGGGCACCAAAACACATCTTCTATGCTATTCTAGAATACCAGGGCTAAAGCAAAGATCCTGAACAATTCCATACAGGAAAAAAAAAAAAAAAGACAAATCTTTCCCCACCTCCCTGCAGTGGATCTAACAAAATATTGTTTGAGGGATCAGAGAGATACTAGAGCAGGTAAAGTGCTTGATCTGCATGTGGTTGACCCGGGTCCGATTCCTGGCACCCCCCCCCCCCATAGTTCCTGGATCCCCGGCAGGAGTGATCCCTGAGCACAGAGCCAGGAGTAAACCCTGAGCACTCCCTGGTGTGTACCCCCTTCAGAAAAACCAAGCCCCAAGCCAACAACAACACCCCTGCTCTCCCCTAAGCCCCAATAAAACCCAAATACTGCCTGGACGAGGGGAGACACTGGCCCAGAGGGGACGCATGAGTCCTGGGGGCTGACACCCAGCACTGCTCCCGACCCTCCCCCACAAATGCGAGGCTGGAGGCTAGAAGATAATGGAGCGTCGCCTGCAAATGTCTGGGAGAAAATTCTTTCCAGCCATGGAATGTTACCCACATCAATTAAATGTGGGGGCAGGAAAAGCCATTTCCAACATGTGAGGGCTCGCACAGCCCCACCCCTCCACTTTCTCAGGGAGCATTGAAGGTGGTGGGGGGAGCACACAGAAATGGGAGAGAGGAAGGGCGGGGGAGGGCAGGCAGGGAGAGAAGAGGGAGCCAGTGAAGGCAGGGGGCGCTGGAGAGGACAGGGGCAAGCCCTGAGCACAGCAGGGTGTGCCCCCCCCAATAAAGTGGGGGCGGGGGTGTGTGTGTGAAGTAAGTATTAACCAGAGCAATTGTAACAGACTCATCTGGGCAGTGGACCATGTTTGTGTGGTTAAGAAAATGTAAGCAGGGGGAACTGGAAAGATAGTTCAGTGGGTGTGGCAGCTGACCCCGGTTCGATCCCTGCCACCCTATAAGGTCCCCTGAGCACTGCCAGGAGTAGTTCCTGAGGGCAGAGCCAGGAGTAAGTCCTGAGCACTGTCGGGTGTGATCCAAAACCCAAAATAAAATAAACAGGGAACAAAGAGAGGCCCGCGGATGGCCCCCGAGTACCACTGGGTGTGGCCCCCAAACCAAAATAGGAGACCATGAGTTATTAAAAAACTGTGTGGTACCAGGGACCAAACCTGGGCAGGCCATGTGAAAGGCAAGCCCCTTACCCACTGTATTGTCTCTGGCACACCTAAAGTTTAGTTTTGTTTAGTGTTCCCCCCCCCTCCCCCCCCGGCCCATACCCAGTAGTGCTCAGGGGTTACTCCTGGCTCTTCACTCAGGGATCACTCCTGTTGGTGGTCAGGGGACCATGTGTGGTGCTGGGGAATGAACCAATCAGCCGTGTGCAAGGCTGTACTATGGCTCCGGTCCCGGGTCCCTAAATTTGTAATAAATGTTTTATTAGATATTTATTTTTAAAGACATAGTACAACGAGGAGGGCGTTTGCTTTGCACAGGACTGACCTGGATTTGATCCCCGGCATCCCATGTGGTCCCCTGTGCACTGCCAGGGATATTTCCTGAACGTGGAGCCAGGAGTAACCCCTGAGCATTGCCAGGTGTGACCCCCCAAAAAGAAAAAATAAACAGAAAAAGATATTACTAACATGAGGCTCTCCATTATAATACGCAGTCTCAGGGTTAAGCTGTGTCTAGCTTTCTTTCTTGGGTGCCTTGTTTCTGGGGTGCCTGCCTGATCCTGGGCTCCCTCTCTGACATCTGGGGGGGTGCTGCGGGATGTAGGGGGAGCAGAGGTGGCCGCCTACACCCACGCCCGGGGGGGGGGGGGGATAGCCACTGGACTCACAGGCAGTGTGGTCACACCTTTCCAAGTACACCGAGGTGCCCAAACTACCCTTTTAAATAGTTGACTCAGAGGCCAGAGCAATGGTACAGCATTGAGGGAGGGCACTCGCCTTGTACCTGACGCTCCAACCCCCCCAAGCACTGCCATGAGTGACTCCTGAGTGCAGAGCCCTGAGCCCCGGGCATGGCCAGGTGTTGGTCATCAATAAATAAATGACTCAGTGTCCCTCCCCTCGAATGGACCTTCTTCAAAAGGAAGTATAACCCCCTTCCCTATCATAGGACCAGCATCTGCGGGGGGCAGAACCGCCCATTCTGGAACACTTCTTCAGATGTCCTCGATGGCTCTTCACCTTTTACTGATCCCTCCTTCCGTTTACCCCTTGGTGCCACTCTCATCACTGCATGGAACTCTGGCTTCAGATCCTACGGTGTGAAAAAGGTGCCCCGGGCCTCTGATCAGGCCCACAGGCTTTGCCTGGCACGCACGACCCCTCACCATGGGCCCTGGTCTCTTTCCCATCTCACTGCTCAGAGTTCCCGAGGCTCGGGGCACTGACCCAGATGACCCTCGGGTCCCCAGCACACGGCCGTCACTCTGGTTGCCAGGCTCTGCAGCCCCCGTTGCCTTGGCCGCCAGGCTCCGCTGCGCCCGGGGACGTGTGTGGCTCCCTCAAGGCGGGCTGTGGTTCCTGGTCTTTCCCTCACAGCTTGAGGCCCAAGGCTGCCACAGACTGACCCCAACACAGATCCGAGGGCCTTGGCAAAGCCCAAGCTGGACTCAGCCGGTGTGCAGCAGAGGCCCTGGCACGGGTGTGTGTGTGTGTGTGTGTGTGTGTGTGTGTATGCGTGTGAGAGGCCGTACCAGCTTCCATCACCTCTGTGGGTCCTGGGCATCATCCCTCTGACCCTCTCTTCTGGTCAGAGGCACAGCTCAGGTTGGAATGCAGTTCCGGGGCACCTGTCTCCTGTGGGGGGCAGGGCCTGGCTGCAGTCCAGCGTCACACACACAGAGGAGCAGCGGGCAGAGGAAGGGACCTGAAATGTCCAGGGGTGAAGCCAGAGCACCTGGGTCAACCTCTGAGTGATGTGGGCAGGCAGCGACCGACCGACCGGAGCCAGTTGCATAGTTGGTATCACAGGTTCCCGCCCCCCCGCCCCCCTCCCCCCCCCACACAGTTCCCAGCACTTCCCGGGGGGGCAGCACAGGGCCGAGGAGTCGAGAGAGAGGTCCTGCCTGCACATGCTGACCCGGCTTGATCCCACGCAGGGTCTCCCAGGCAGCACCAGGAGAGAGCCCAAGCACAAGAGCCAGGCACAGGCCCACTCCCCCCAACCGAGCCAAATAAACAAACTTGGGCAGCACTTTGCAAAGAGACGAACTACATCATGAGCAGGGTGTCGTCCTGGAGCTGGGGCCCGGGCCCAAGGCCACATGGACAGGTGCGTCCAGCAGTGTCAGCGCTGACCCTCGCTGTGGCTTTCGTGCGTGGCTTTGCCAGCACGCGCGCCCCCCCTGCCAGGCACTGCCTGGAAGCACTTTTTAGTATCAGGGAAGACTTGCCCAGGAATGACACAGAGAAAGGCCGATGCAAACACGCACAGTGACTGACCAGAGCTAGGAGAGGAGCTTCAGGACACACCGTAACGTCACAGGTTTCCCAAGCTTCCAAATTCCCTTCAGGTCGACCTGTTTGTCAGTCCTTCCTGGTGATTGCTGAGGCCAATGCACTCACCCTACAGCCAGGGGGATGATGTGCACCACCTCCACATACCGTCACCACACCCCCTTCCATTCACCTGCTACACA